ATGCTGGGGATGTTGGCTGGATGCGGGGGATGTTGAAAACGATGCTGAGGATGTTGCCGGACTAGCGTAAAATACATACATTTCGCGAGAAAATGCTGTAAATTACAGCATTTTAGTAGCCAGGACGGAAAACAAAAAAATCCCAAAATAAAACAAAAAAAACCCAAATTAAATCTCGACCCGTTTTTCATTCACACAAAGCGGAGTCCTGCAAATACCAATGGATTGCTCGCTCCCCACTGGAGGCGCTAGGATGGCGCTTGGTTTGCGCTAGGGTCTTCGGTGATCTTGGTTTCCAAGAGTTGGCGCGTGGGTTGCCGCGATGGGCTTTGCGTGGCTTTCAAGGGTGTAATGTTGCAGTTCTTACTTAGTACTTGAAGCCAGCCCGCACGTTTACCTTCATCTTACGTGGCCTTAATTTGTCAAATCCACACAGATGGTCGCCGTGACTCCAAAAAATACGGCGAACCCGCGCTAGCCGCGCGCTAGCAAGGCGCTAGCGCAGTGGTCAGCTGTGACCGGTTCCCAGTTACGCTTCAATCCAAATTTGCTTCCGCTCTCCTCGCATGCAATTATCATGGAGTGCGATTTGCTGGACAAAGGGGAGAAACAACGGCTGAGGCAAGACGGCAGGGATGCCTTGTACCGAGCATACGGAAGAATTGGGTTGCGTATTTCCCTGCGAAAGCAAATGCTTTACTGAATCGATACGAAGAGTTGCCACAATACGATCAAAGCACTATAGCAATCGATACGAAAGACACTGTGCAGCTAAGCGAGAAAGAAGCGCAATGCGCCGGAAAGCTTTTGCTAAGCTGAAGCCTGTAACTGCTGGAGACGCATCCGATACTGATAGTACTAGCAGTAGTAGCAGCAGCAGCAGCAGCAGGCTCGCGCGCTAGCAATGTGTTGCAAAAAAGCTAGATTGATCGTACACGAACACTATTTTCCTACTTGGAACACGCATATAAAACACACGCGTTGTTCAAGGCAGAGCCCCATGGAATAGCGCCTCACAGCCGGCTTCGGGAACTTGATTTATGTGTCGCCCAGGCGTGCAGGAAATGTAAATTCCATGTGAACACATTTTTGTTGTCCAGGTGAACGCATGTGTGTAGCACATTTGTGTTGCACATGTTTCTCCACATGTGCACACACGTGTGTTCCATGTGTACACATATGTGTGTTACAAGTCAACACAGAAGTTTGTTCTGGTTAAACATGCTTGTGTGATCCAGGTCTGCACCAGTGTCGCACGTGAACACAAATGCCTGTTCCAAGTGAGCGCATATATGGGTTCCAGGTGAACACATATGTGTGTGGCAGGTGAACAGAAATGTGCTTTCCAGACATACACACATATGTGTTCCAGGTGTACGCATGTGTGTGTGTGTGCGTGTTCCGGGCGCGCATATATATATATATGTGTGTGTGTGTGTGTGTTCGCGTGTGCACATATGTGTGTTCCACATGTACACATATGTGCGTTCACGTGCGCACATATGCGTGTTGCACGTGTACACATATGTGTGTTCACGTGTACACACATGTGTGTTCTTATCAGACACGTGTATGTGTTCCTGGAGAACACATGTTTGTTATCAGATGAACACGTGCGTGTGTGTCTGCTTCGCGTGCACTTTTTTTGTATGTGTGTTCACGTGCACACATTGTGTGTTCACGCGTGCGCACATGTGCGTTCCAACTGGACACGTGTTTGTGTTCCAGGAGGACACATGTTTGTTATCAGATGAACACGTGTGTGTGTGTCTGCTCCGCATGCGCATGTGTGTGTGTTCATTTGCACACATATGTGTGTTCCACGTGCACACATTTGTGTGTTCACGTGTCCACACATGTGTGTTCCAATTGGACACGTGTTTGTGTTTCAGGTGAATACATGTTTGTTTTCAGATGAACGCACGTGTCTGTGTGTGTTCCGGGTGCGCATATATATGTGTGTGTGTGTTCACGTGTACACATATGTGTGTTCACGTGTACACACGTCTGTGTTCCAATTAGACACACGGTTGTGTTCCAGGAGAACACGTGTTTGTTATCAGATGAACACTCGTGTGTGTCTGTGTTTTCCGCGCGCGCATAAATGTGTGTGTTCACATGTGCAGTACACATGTACACACGTCTGTGTTCCAATTAGACACACGGTTGTGTTCCAGGAGAACACGTGTTTGTTATCAGATGAACACTCGTGTGTGTCTGTGTTTTCCGCGCGCGCATAAATGTGTGTGTTCACATGTGCAGTACACATGTGTGTGTTGCACGTGTGCACATGTGTGTGTTCACGTGTGCGCATTTGCGTCTCCCACGTGTACACATATGTGTGTTCACGTGTACACACATGTGTGTTCCAATGGACACGTGTTGTGTTCCAGGTGAACACATGTTTGTTTTCAGATGAACACTCGTGTGTGTGTGTGTTCCGGGTGCGCGTATATATGTGTGTGTTCACGTGTACACATATGTGTGTTCACGTGTACACACGTCTGTGTTCCAATTAGACACACGGTTGTGTTCCAGGAGAACACATGTTTGTTATCAGATGACCACGTGCGTGTGTGTCTGCTCCGCGTGCACTTTTTTGTATGTGTGTTCACGGCACACATTGTGTGTTCGCGCGTGCACACATGTGCGTTCCAACTGGACACGTGTTTGCGTTCCAGGAGGACACATGTTTGTTATCAGATGAACGCGTGTGTGTGTGTGTGTGTGTCTGCTCCGCGTGCGCATGTATGTGTGTTCATTTGCACACATATGTGTGTTCCACATGTACACAATTGTGAGTTCATGTGTCCACACATGTTTGTTCCAATTGGACACGTGTTTGTGTTTCAGGTGAATACATGTTTGTTTTCAGATGAACGCACGTGTGTGTGTGTGTTCCGGGTGCGCATATATATATATATATAAATATGTGTGTGTTCACGTGTACACATATGTGTGTTCACGTGTACACACGGTTGTGTTCCAATTAGACACACTGTTGTGTTCCAGGAGACCACGTGTTTGTTATCAGATGAACACTCGTGTGTGTCTGTGTTTTCCGCGCGCGCATAAATGTGTGTGTTCACATGTGCAGTACACATGTGTGTGTTCCACGTGTGCACATGTGTGTGTTCACGTGTGCGCATTTGCGTCTCCCACGTGTACACATATGTGTGTTCACGTGTACACACATGCGTGTTCCAATTGGACACGTGTTTGTGTTCCAGGAGAACACATGGTTGTTATCAGATGAGCACACGGGTGTGTGTTCCGGGTGCACATATATGTGAGTGTTCACGTGTGACATATGCGTGTTCACGTGTGCACATATGTGTGTTCCACGTGTACGCACATGTGTGTTCCAATTGGACACGTGTTTGTGTTCCAGGTGAACAGATGTGTGTTTCACGTGAACACATTAGTATGTGCTAGTTGAACTTTTTTTGGCATCTGACGACATATTTGCTCTCCAGGTGTGCGCATGTATGCGCTCCAGAAAACGCATGATTGTTTTCGAGGTGCGCGCATGTGTGTGCGATTTAGGTGAGCATTTATGTTTGCTCACGTGTGCGCATATGTGTGATCCACATGTACACACATGTGTGCTTTAATCGCACACGCGGTGTTCCAGGTGGACACATGTTTGTGTTCCAGTGGTATACATATGTGTGTCCCACGCGTACACACAAGTGTGCTTTAATTGCGCGTCTTTGTGTTCCAGGTGAACGCATGTGTGTTCCACGTGTACACACATGTGTGTCTGAATTGGACACGCGTTTCATTGTGTTCCAAGTGAACACACATGTGTGTTCCACGTGAACGCATTAGCGTGTCGTAAGTGAACACATATGTGCGTTCCACGTTTGCACATGTGTGTGTGTGCTTTCCAAGAAGCACATGTTTGTTTTCCAGCTCAACACATTTATGCGTGTGCCGCAGGTGAATGTATACTGTTTCAGTCGTATACGTATGTGTGTTCCACGTGTACACACATGTGTGTCTGAATTGGACATGTGTGTTTGAACTGCCCATGTGACTGCGTGCTTGCGCGGCCACACTTGCGTTCACGCGCGCGCGCTCGCCCGCCATCGCGCGCGCTTGCCCAACCTCAGTTCTGGCGCGGTGCTGAAGCGCGAAGCACGCCAGCAACACACGTGCAGCAACGCAACGCGCGCCAGGTTCACGACTGCATCATTTTGATTCATCCGTGTTGAAGCGCAGAAAGCCACAAGCTGTTGGCATGTTTGTGCTCGCCCGTCAGCCCTCAACTGTTTGGGGTCTCTGCTGGTGTAATTTTTCTATCTATCTAAGTAGCTTTTTGTCGTCCATCTAGATGTAGCTACCTAGCTCTCAACATGCCTACTGGTCAGTGCTCTGAAAGCGCTTTCCCCGCCAGGAACTTTGCACCTGACCTCGCAACAGCGCTCCGCCTGCCACAAGATCTGCGCCTGACTGTGCGCCACGAAGTAGCTTTCAGCCATCCGGAGATGCCGAAACCTGCAGAGGACTGCTCTTTTTCACGATTTGTATTTCCCTGCGCGCCCGCGAATGCTTTCTCGCACGCGCTCGTCCTTCATCTTCGCGCGAACCCTACTTCAGTTAGTGTCCGTAACACGAAAGTTCCTTCTAATTTCCTTTGACCACTGCGGCTCATTTTGACCAAGTTGGGCTGGGTCTTACTTATGTCATTGGCTGCCTACGAGCGGCTTTGCCCATCGCAGTGCAATGTTAAGTATACGGGCGCGAGGTAACAAACACCAAGTCCTTTACAGAAAGCGCACGCAGGGATTCCTCCATCAACAGCGTGTCTTGGGTCTCAATTGCTGCTACATTGCTAGAGCTGGTCATTGGGAACGTCTCCGCGCAATGTCTGCCTACATGTGTTTTCATTTCTTGGCAGCAGCGTGCGCCCGAAACATCAGAAACACTCTCAGCTTTCCTGAGGCCGTCCGACTTTCTCCCTCCACCCATCCCCCCTGTTGCCCTTCACACGGCATAGGCCAGCGTGGCAGAGCTCATTTGCCAGGGCTTGGTAGACTGCGGGGAGCGCAGGCGAGCAGCGTGAAGGACTGTCAAAGGAAACATCAGACAGTGAGCTCAAACCCCAGGTTTTCGAAGGTATTGGCCAATGTCCTGGAGAGTGTCTTGGAGATGGTTTCTTAGACAATGCGGCGCAAGAAAACAGCAGTTTACACGAGTTTGTGATGTGATTTGTTTGTGACTTTGATATGTTGAGCCATTTTTGGGTGGAATTCAGGTTGTCGAGTGGTCTTGGAGAAGTTTGTTGAGAGGTCTGTGAATTCCAGGCTTTTGGTCCCTGCAAGCCTGGAAGCTCTGAAGCTTTGGGAAGGTTTAGTGAGCTATCTTGGCTCTTGGTTCTTGGCCCCCTGCAGCTTGCAGAGCTTTAATGAGTTTGAAGCCTCTCAAGAATGGGTGGACCCAAGCTACTCACACATGATGCGCAAGCTTCGCGCGGCAGGGCACAAAGATGTTTTTGGTTGTAGAGCATGTGTTGTTTCTACCGGGGTGCGTAAAATATTTCAGCAAGAGGTTCCAGCAACTGATCAATGGCATGTCTGATATGTTCCAGGAATGTGCTGGTCAGGCATCAGTCAATGTGCGTCAGCGACCACTATTGCTCAGAACTGACGCGTTCAGTCCTTTCGGCCGGAAAGCCCCTGCTTGTTTTTGCAGGCCAAGCCTGCGCGCGCATGGCAATTTGCTTGAAGTGTTGGATGTTTTTGCGCAGGCCACTGTTCCCGGGCAAAGGGCCCAGGGAGTCGGCGCAGCTGTGCCTGGCGCGATTCCTGCGGGCAAGGCAGGGCCATTCGTTTGAAATGAGAAGAGCGGATGGCCTGCCTTTGTACCACTTCTCTTTCTGGGGGGGAGCTGGCTTTCCATGCAAGAACGGGATCTTCGCCAGGAATGCCTTGAACACCGAGATTTTCGCCACAGCTGTGACGCAGGCCCGCGAGGACCTGTTGCAAGGCGTTCAGAGCTTGTCGTTTGAGGGCAATATGTGCAATTCGCGCCCGTGTGGACGGCGTTTGAGATGAACGTGTTGCAAGGCCTTTCTGTGGCATAGGTGCCACGCTCTGACGTTTGTGGGCCCAGAGAATGCTTGCGGCCTGTGGGACGGGTGTGGGTTGCGCCAAGTCGTCCAACAGGCGGCTTCTTGAAAGAGGCTGAGTTAAGTGGCCTCGGTTGCGCGTTTGCGCATTCAAACTTCCAAGAACGCAACCGGCAACATTACTTGAGTTGTTGAGGAGGGGTCCCGACTTGTCCGTGTGGGTCTAGGGGAAGAACTTGCTGCCGCGGATTTGGACCATTTGCGAACTCATGACTGTTCTAGTTTTCGTGTTTGACCAGCAACCCTAACTTCATGTCCAACATCCGTCGACGTGGGATTTGGGTTGCCGCGCAATGAGCGCCGCCGCTTGAATCGAGCAACTTCCAGAGCCGTGTGCCCGCATTGGAATGGATTCTGCTTGGTTTCCTTTCAGTCTCAAGTTCCGTCCGGCTTGCCGCTCCAAATTTATGACAAAATACTTGGTCCAAGGGGGATTTTCAAAGACCTGGAGGACTTCCTGCAAAGATGCGCCTTGCCGTTTGCGCCGCGCCCAGAAAAAGCTTAACGTCCACTTTGCCTGACAGCGCCGCCCTGTTGGGGGGGGAGGTTGGAGATTGGAGATAAGGGGTCCTAAATGGGCCCCGAATATGCGCCTCGTACCAAATATCTAAGTAAGCAGTGTTTGGTTTCTCTGTGGAAGGTGAAATCCTTCTCACTCTAGCTTACGATGGCCAATGGCAATCAACAATCGCACATGAGTGGGTCTGTGGAGTCAAGCACACAACAAACAAGAAACAGAACAGACACAAATTTCGTTCCACTCATGGCGTTACAGGTTCCTAGAAGGAGTCTTGCCATTCAGTGATCGCACATTGGGAAACGATGCCGTAGCCAATCTCCACAGTTGGTTGTTCTGAAAGGTTTGCGGTTATGCGCGCCATATTTTGCTGTCACACCTTTGGCCAAGGTATGCGTGCGAATTAAAACTTGAACGACCTGGACTAATCTTAGGATCATGGTGAAAAATTCCGGAATAGCCGGGGCGAATAAGCAAAGCGTCAGAAAGTGGCATTCCGTTGAAGTGAATCCTATCCATAATGCTCCATGATATGCCGTGATGATGGCGGACGATCATATGACCATGGCGATGTATATCGTCTGTCGTGATCGCGCTGACGTTTGCGCTGGATCTGTCACATCGGCACGCGCCTGAAAAAGCCTGCCTACGGGCTAAATGACGCACCACGCGGATGGTGGAACATCCTAGACCCGGCACTCCGTTCTCACGGATTAGTGCCAACCAGGGCAGATCGTTACACATATGTTATCCATGGAAAACAGCTTCCGAAACCAACACCGGTCAGTGAGAAGATATCATCCAATAAAATCGATCTAGAAGGAGCAGTTGTTTACCTCATGGATCCAGTTTCCGGTAACAATGCCAAGAATCGACAAGTTCATGGAGCACTTTCTCTTCATGTAGATGATCTTCTTATGACCGGTGATGATGTGTTTGAGAAGGAAATCATGGGACGACTTCGCAAAATTTTCAATTTGGTTCCGAAGACAATGATTGCCTCTTCGTAGGACAACGCATCCAATGGAAGCAAGACGACAAGCACAGTTGGTGCATCAATGTCCATCAGAACGTTGCCAGTGACAAACTTCAGGAGATCACCTTTGACATGTACCTGAAGGATGACGTACCGCTCCTCAAATGCGTACTGCACACAGAAGTGTCTTAGGTCAGATCAATTGGTTACAATCGCGAAAACAGTTCCACACCGCTACAACAATGTCCACAACTGTTGCTGAATTGCACGGTTTGATGTGTTGTTACGGTTCCGCTGTATTTCTTCGCGGTCTCTGGTCAGACATTGCAGGCGAACAATCTTGTTTACGGTAGTCAAAAGTCGCCCCGTTGATGGAACTACTGTATACACGAGTAGTTTTATGCCTGAACGGATGCATGCTCATACGGCTCATGAGTGTATTCTTGAAATACGTAGCAATAGCGTTACATTCTATGACTAATCCATAAACATATGACAGTACTAACTTTCTATTTAATAGCATAATATATATGAGCAAAACCTGAATGAATACCTGTAATATTACCGCGAATAGAATTAGAGAAGTAAAGGATAGAGCAGTCAGTGTCTTTACGCAAGTAAATCCGACATTCAAGCAGTATTGGGTAGTAAAGCAGACCAAATAGACACTTTTACCAAACAACAAACAAATGCTAACTTTTTTGACACAACACAATCATATAAGAAAACAGAAGTAAATGTATTAGCAAATAGTTCAAATACATATTTTCAAGCTGCCTCGCGTGCCAGCGAAAGTCCCTGATGAGTGGATGGATGGCTGGATGGGTGGATGGACGGACGGATGGATGGATGGATGGACGGATGGATGGATGGGACGGGGATGGATGGATGGGGATGGATGGATGGATGGATGGATGCACGGATTGCTATCGGATGATTTATGGAAGTTTAACAGGTTCAACGATGTTTTTAAATCAACGAGGTTTGGGAGATGTAGAAATTAACAACAGTGCGAATTTTGAACGTGAACAACCATGGTACTACAATATCAGGTTATAGACAAGTATCAGGTTTATTTTCTTGTTCATCTGTTTTAGATATGGCAGGTTCTGATGCTCGTTTTTTTGCAATCAGATAGACTAAGTGAGCTGATAACAGGAAAGACAAACAGAATTATTTCAACAATTACTACCAATAATTCACAAAATACATCATTAGGTCAAAAGTTAGACAAAAAGGATACTAACACTCAACCAGTAGCAGGTGCTGTTGATTTTTAGTGCTAATACAACTTTACACCGTGATTTAACTATGCTTACTACTAATAGTACAATATGTAAGAAAAGTAGAACTACACCTTCACATGATTTAGGTTTACAGATGACATTTCAAAAGTTTAATCGTAATTTTAATATTTTTTGGATGGTAGAATGTGGATGAGTAGCGCAGGAGGCCAGTGGGAAGCTCAAATAAAAGACGCTAATGTAGGTCGTGTGTGGGTTGAGAATAGGTTTGGTTTAGGTGCTGGTGGTGTCAGCGGTTACGTTTTAAACTGTGCTGGACAAGCGAGATTTACTGAGTGTATGGGCACTGACAAAGCAGCAAGTCTTAATCATGTTTTATTTTGTTACATTCTATACGAAGATATACACCTGATGCAATCGAAGGTTTATATACGGCTCCAATCGAAGGTGGTACACAAGGGTGCACTTGCATGTGGCCTTGCGATTGCTTGTAGTGCGCAAGGGAGGCCTTGTGATTGCCTGTGGTGTAGCAGGGGGCTAGTGATTACTTGTGGCGCGCAAGACAGGCCTTGTGATTGCCTGTGCTACACGAGGACTCCCTTGTGCGCCGCAAGCAATCACAACGCCTCCCTTGCGCACCACAAGCAATCACATGGCCTCTCTTGTGTACCACAAGCAATCGCAAGGCCTCCCCTGTGCACCACAAGCGATCTACAATAAATCGCAAGCCCCCTTGTGCGCCACAGGTAATCACAAGGCTACAAGCAATCACAAGGCCTCCCTTGTGCACCACAAGCAGTCACAAGGCCTCCCTTGTGTACCACAAGACATGCGTCAGTTGACGCTATTGATATTACTGCTGGAACTGTAACCATGATTTGTTCTCTAACAGACAATTCTGATGCCAGGTTGAAATACGATGTAGGTTTGCTGAAAAGTAATTGCATTATTACGATTAAGAAATTTAGGCCTAAAATTCTCAAAAGACAAGATAGAAACGGTAGGGATGCTACTCATATAGGTTATATTGCTGATGGCGTATTAAGAGTAGGTATTGAATATACAAAAGCCCCAATATTGTTACATAAAGCGCAGCTTGAGGTAATAGATAAAGTAGAAAGTTTGGAAAAAGAAATTGGGGAACCGGACAGAAAATCTAAATAATATATATATAATGTTGTTTTCCCAGAAGCTGATATTGAAAATGCACCTCTTGATAAATTGAGTGAAATTGATGATGAAGGTACTCGTGAGCGATTATTGATTAAAAGTGTAAAATCAATAAGTGAAAAATACATAAGTTGGAAGAAGAAAGACAATCGAAACTGTTATTCAGGATCCCTGTTCAATTATGTAATTTGTCATTATTCTAAATTAAAAATATGCAAGCTACTGTCTTATTAGTTGAAAATATGAGTAAATTCTTCTGATAACCTAATTGTTTCTCAATGCATTTGTCCAATGATTAACCTTTTTATTCATAGAATAATACATACCAAACAAACTATTTGATGCTAAAATACGATTATCAACAGCACGCGAACTTTTATTTGAACTAGTGTGAATAATGACAACAACACCCATTGATACGTCTAATGCTTTCTGTTTTTGGAGCAATTTATCTAACTCGCTTAAATTAGAAATATATGATACTCCATTATTATCATTAATATTATCAATTTCAGTACATTGCATATTCTTTAATTTGTAAGGACTACATACTGGTTTTAATTTGTAATTATATTGTTTTATTTTCGTTGTTTTATTTTAATCTAACATCACCTGAACTATAAGATGACACGATCTTCAATGTCTAATAGCAAATCATACAATATGATATAAAACTAACTTTTTTGAGTCTGTAAATATTATTTGTCAGTATTATGCTTCGCTGGTTCAAAACGAACTGTAAAAGGTTTTTCCCGAAAGCATCGCGAAGAGTTCTTCCGTGCGGAGCCCTTGGACAAGTTACACAGAGCCAAGTTGCACAGAGCCAAGTTGCACAGAGCCAAGCTACATAGAGCCAAGTTACATAGAGCCAAACTTTCAAAGCTGATATTAATAAATTTTTCACTGTTCTGAGCGATGACACCTATTGAATTGTTGTTACTTAATTTATCAGCATTTTGAATAATTAAATGACCGTCATAATTTTTCATGTTATGGAAGAATACAGGAATTTTAAAATATCTACTACAAAAATTAAGATTGCAAACATTATGAGCACAACCTCTATACTTACCTGTAAAATGACAATGGTCTCTAACTTTTCTATATTTCTCTGCTTCCTTGGCAGTCTTATAGTTCATTCTAAACTTCTCTCCACAAATAAAGCAGTTTTTAGCATGTTTAAAATCTTCTTTGTCTTCAGCGGTCATGTCTATTTTTTCGTTTTCTCCCATCTTCTCCTTTACTTCTGCCCTAATCTCATTAAGCTTTTGACAAAACACATCAACAGCATCTTTACCACGATACATAAACTCATATTTTGTGTTATCAACAGCATTAACCATATTAAGCATAAAACCACATGGTTTATGCTCTTGATAAGAAAAAGTGTTTTTATCTTTATCTTCATCAGGTTTTTTCAGTTCCTCTGTCAAACATTCAAAATCAGCATATACAACAAAAGGACATCTTAACTTTTTGAAGTGATGCTTAAAACTCACTTTCTCATAAGGATTAGGCATTACTATCTGCTGTCCGTCAACTTCCATACATCCACTATCATAATGTTTATTTAA